GTCTCACAGCTTATTGCGATTTACCACGTAACTAGTTAATTCCGGGGTTTCCATTTCCACAGATGCCTAACACCATGTGACTTATACCGATTTACCGTAGGAATGAAAATCCGATGTTCTTAACTTGCGCTCTTCTCTCGTTTTACGTCCCAATTCGTAGGGATCCAGCGTGCTGGACCAACCCATTGGCCAACGGAGAGTACAAGACAAATCTCAATCAGTCTCAGCGATTTATTTTCCCGGCCCGGCATTCAACTGAAAGATTGTTGTGTATCACTCTGTCGGCTTATATCCTGAGGTTTGTGTAAGTTAGGTATGTATCGATCGGGTCACAAATAGAACAAGATTGTGCACGAAAGATGAGTCTCAACCAGAAGAATTAAAATTCGAACTGTGATCTTTTCTATATAGCACTTTCGTATTGAAGCACTTCTTTTATTTCCCTTCCGTTATGTAGCATGACAAGGTTGGTCTCCCTAATCACGAGGGAGACACCAATGCAATGCTATAGAGACGGGACATGTCACATACAAAAGGGAGCAAGCCTCCTTTTGCGGACTGACTACTAATATATTTATTCTTACTCGCTGGTCTTCTCTCCGAATTGTAAAAGAGGTTAATTTTGCACCAAGATCTGTGTGATTCAGATGCTCCGCGGGGAGATCTTCCTTATTTGGCTGCAGGTCAAGTCACCATTCTCAGTCGCTTGATTAGGCCATTTCCGCCGACTGGTGTCCTCCCCACTGCTCGTTCTTATGTACACCTCCAACATGGTGAGCAAATTGGTTTATTTTAAATACGCCTAGATTCACAATGTGTTATTCTTCATTCGCTGACTGATACCGCTCAAGGGTTTATACCAGATCCTCTGGAGCCACAGCTGGTTAACCTCAATAATGGGGTGAAGATACCTATGATTGTACTCTATCCCACCCAAGGAGTGGGGCCGTTCTCTACCCTAGATTGACGAGAACGGTAGGTTATTCTGGCTTGGCTTCCCCGCATTAACCTACCATCGACGCATCTCGAAGAGGCAACAAACGTTAGACGATGACGGTAAGAATCCCGAGCAAGTCCCGACCTGCCTGGGGTAATCATGACAAGAGGACGTGTGATGCTTGGAAACGCGGGGTATAAATAATCGTGTATTTATCAAAACTCAAATACTATGCATCTTCCTTCTTTGCTACTCCCAGGTCGACTTATACACTTGCATCATCACTATTCATCATGACTACCCAAACTATGAAGGCTGTCAACTACCAAGGCCCTTACAAGGTCAAGGTTCAGGAGATAGAACTCCCTAAGCTCGAGCATCCTGACGACGTCATTGTCAAGGTTACGACTGTAAGACTACCAAATCTCTAGGCACCTTATTATATCGTAGGAACTGATAAATGCTCAGGCTGCCATCTGCGGCTCCGACTTACAGTAAGGGGAATAATATGTACACAAAAAGTAATACTCACAAATCATAGCATGTATGAAGGCAGAACAGCAGCAGAACCCGGCATTACCTTTGGTACGGCTCCTGTGCTCACACAATTAACCACCTTACTAACCTCACAGGTCACGAGAACATGGGCATTGTCGAACAGCTTGGCGAAGGTGTCACGCTGTTGAAGAAAGGAGACCGAGTCGTCATGCCCTTTAACGTCGCTGATGGACGATGCCGTAACTGTGAAGAGGGCAGAACTGCTTTCTGCACTGGTGTCAACCCCGGATTTGCCGGAGGTGCTTATGGCTATGTCGCCATGGGTCCTTACCGAGGAGGGCAGGCTCAGTATATCCGAGTTCCTTATGCTGACTTCAACGCTCTCAAGCTCCCTGCTGGCAAGGAGCATGAAGCTGATTTTATTTTGTTGGCTGGTATGTATATCTGTTTCCCTTATCTTGTATTCTTTATTGATATTGTGCAGATATATTCCCCACCGGATGGCACGGCGTTGAGATTTCTGGTTTCCGATCAGGCGAGAGCGTCGCTGTCTTCGGCGCAGGCCCCGTCGGTCTCATGGCAGCTTACTCGGCCGTTCTTCGTGGCGCATCCAGAGTATTCGTTGTTGACCGTGTTCCCGAGCGCCTTCAGGCCGCCGAGAAGATCGGCTGCACGCCTATTGATTTTTCAAAGGGAGATGCTGTTGACATGATCATCAAAGCCAACGACGGAGAAGAGGTTGATCGATCTGTTGATGCTGTCGGCTACCAGGCTGTCAGTAAGAGCGGTGAAACTGAGCAGCCTAATATTGTGTTGGAAAACATGATTCGAGTGACCAGAGCTTGTGGTGGGCTGGGCATTCCAGGTCTCTACGTCCCAAGTGATCCTGGTGCTTCTGACGAAGCTTCGGCGAAGGGTATGATCAGTCTTAGCTTCGGCAAGCTATTCGAAAAGGTATGATTTATAGTCCTCTCGGGCTAATCAAACTGGATTCTAATATTCACTTAGGGGCTTACTATTGGCACTGGCCAATGTAATGTCAAGTCTTACAACAGATATCTCCGAGATCTCATCATTTCTGGTCGTGCTAAGCCCAGCTTCGTTGTCTCGCATGAGATCAACATTGAAGAAGCCGAAGTGGCCTACGAGAAGTTTGACAAGCGAATCGACGGATATACGAAGGTTCTTATCCATCCTAATGGTGGTTTCTAGAATTTGTACAAGAAGTAAAAGCTGCGGAGTGCTTAACAATGGCATATTGGGGAGAGTTATATGTATCTTTAGTTGGTGTTGTGAGGCTGGGAGCGTTGTATCAGGCATTGATGAAGGGTGTTGAAGTTTAAGGAAGTTTTCATAGCGCGAAATTGATCAATTGCATCTGCATTTTACCATAATCGCAACAAACCCTCCCTTCTGCTGCCATATAATCGAAATGGGGAATAACTCATCAATAAGGTGCTTGCATGGAAACTTGTCATGATTCAGAGCGAGGCTTTTTAATTCAAACATCTTACCAAATCTTCACTTGTGGCTCGCGAAAATGTCACTATAAAAAAGCTTCAGATAACCAAACTCGAGCACTAGAGCCCTGAAATGTTTTGAATTACCTGAAGATATTTTTTGAAATTGTCAAAGTCCCTAGACGTCATTGTGACTTATGTTCCTGATCATGTCGTTTCTAACATGCCCTTTTTTATTTCATTCTTCTAAAACCATGCTGCCTTTTGTATAGATAATCCGTTTGTTCGCCTTATCACAAACCGATCCTGAAGTTGCGATGTCGGAACCATGGTGAGTGAAATTGGCTAGACTGGGCATAGTAATCATGAAACCATGACTTCATTTGCTATAAATACACTTGAGCTTCCCAAAGAGGAAACAAGTCTCTTCACCGAGATCTAAGGAATTGACTCATTTTTCTCCCTTGTGTTATATATATCGGTGTTATATATATCGTGAGTGTTGGCAGAGAAATCAAATGTCTCCAATGAATACGCAGATGAATCATGACGACTACAACTTCCCTTGAGTTGGCGAGTATTCGCCCAAATGGCGACGATGAGGCAGAACTGCCATCTATTGACGCTCTTCCACCGACAGATCGAGGTCGAAGGGCTTATACAGCCTTAGCTTGCTGTACAATTGCTCAAGCACCTATATGGGGTCAGCATCTAATCTCCCAGCCCTTAGAAACATATCTGACTTGATCTTAGGATACTCTGTCTCATTTGGAATCTTTCAAGAGTACTACACCGCTCATACCAATCTCAAAGCGTCTCCAAGTGCCATCGCATCTATTGGCGCATCTCAGACAGGGATCATGTATCTCATGATGCCTGTGGCCTTTATTGTTCTAAACCGCTTCCCACGTCTTCGAAAGTGGTGCGGCCCTCTCGGTTTAGCTATCACCATAATCAGCTTGACAGCTTCAGCTTTCGCAGGCAATGTTGCTGGTCTCATCGCCACCCAGGGTGTTCTGTATGCTATCGGATGCAGCTTGCTCTTCAGTCCAATCTCACTATACATGGACGAATGGTTTGTTGAGCGGAAAGGTTTTGCCTATGGAGTTATGTGGGCTGGCAAATCGAGCGTTGGTGTCGCCATGCCATTTCTCTTCAATGTCTTACTCCAGCGTTTCGGACTCAAAGCAACCTTACTGTCTTGGACAGTGGCATCAGTGGCTATGACTTTACCAACACTATTCTTTCTGAAGCCTCGAGTCGAGATCAGCCATGACTCAAGGCCGCGTCCTATCAGCTTTGCTTTCTTCAGATACGCTTCATTCTGGATGCTTCAGTTCGGCATAATTATTCAGTCATTGGGATATCTGATGCCGAGCACCTACTTGGCTAGTTATGCCACCGCGATTGGGCTTTCATCTGTCACAGGACCGATCTTGCTGGCACTCTTCTCGCTTGCCTCTGTGCCTGGATCTCTCATCCACGGCATGCTAGGCGACAAGATCTCTGGTGCCAAAGTCATCCTTGTCTCCTCTCTGGGAAGCGCACTTCCGGTATTCCTCCTATGGGGATTGGACCGTCATATAAGCACGATGGTGGTCTTTGTAATTCTTTATGGCTTCTTTGCTGGTGGGTTCAGTGCGACATGGTCAGGAGCTCTGCAAGAAGTCAAGGGGACGAACGAATCGATTGACACATCCTTGGTATTTGGTATGCTGCTCGGAGGTCGTGGACTGGGCTTCATTGTTGCGGGTCCTCTCAGTGGTGCGCTCATGTCAGCCGGGAGTCCGTTGGCAAGTGGTGATAGCCTTGGGTATGCGACCAAGTACGGCCCGATGATTCTTTGCACGGGTGTCACGGCAATTCTTGGGGCATGGGCGCCTATCTGCAAGATAGCCAGGTCTGTTGGGAAGAAAGGGCTCGAAATTATGCAAGATGTATGTTATAATTGCAAGCACTGAGACTGCGCTTGGGCGGTCCAGGAACAGAGAAAAGGAGGATGGCTAGAGACTTGGTGTTTCAAATTGGTGCTTGTTCATTCAGTCGATGACAATTAGTTCTATAATTGCTACGAGGCCCTCAATCCCGTTTATTCTTTTATTCCCCTATTTCTTGGTGATCAATGCTTCGCCATTCATGATGCCTAGCGAAGCGTCCTCTGTATCAATCCACTCCTCCCACGCCTTTGCCATCTCATCCAACTCATCGCCAGTCGCATTACCCATCTCAATAGCCTTGTTGCGCGCGAAGCCAGTCAGCGAGCGATCCTTCATGGCTGATCCTGTAGCATGTTAGTGCGATTTTCAGGTATGTCGACTAATTCTTTACTTACCCCATGCTTTCTTGTCTTCGGGTGCACTGTAGCACCACGTCCCAAAGCTCAAGGTAATGTCTTGACGGGATACCCCAGCTTTCAGGGCCCATGAGAGAAGTTGACGACCTCCCTTGTCTTGTCCACCCTTTCCAGCAATGTTCTTGACTTGAAGCTCATGGAACTTGAGGAGGGCTGGCAGTTCAGGCCAGATGCACCACATGTGCATGTCACTCTCACGAAGAGAAAGTGTGCCCCCTGGTTTGGTAACTCGGAGCATTTCCCGGATGGCATCTACCGGTGCATCTAAATGACAGAGAACCTGATGTGCGTGGGTGACATCAAACGCCGCGTCTGGGAAAGGCAGCTTGAAAACGTTGGCTTGCTGAAACTTAGTGTTGGAGACGCCCTGAGATTCGGCGTACTCCTTGGCTCGAGCAAGGATCTCATCGGATATGTCGGTCGCAGTAACTTCACCTTCAGGCATATACTTTGCCAAAGAGGCAGATATCGTACCAGAGCCAGCACCAACGTCGAGGAGTTTGATCTGTGGGTTCTCTTTGACAATGGCCTGTAGCCTTGGGACGAGATGCGGGCTGCTATTCTCGGCTGTTCGCCATTCATGATGTCTAACTTCGGTAGCAGCATAGCCGTGGCCGTAATCGTTGTGTCCTGACACCATGATTGTTTGTTTGAGTATAAAGTAACCAAGCTTGAAGTGTCTATTCTAGGTTCCTGTAACGACTGAATATTGTTGCAAGGGAATTATATATGTTTTGTTCACTGGAGGCAGGCGATGATGTTTTCCGCTGCCTACCCTACTCTTTCGTCACTCCTGCCGGAGCTGAGGTCGTCAGAGCTGCTCAACTCCGGCGACCCTCAGTGGGGGAATTCTCAACTCCGAACCAATGAGCGCTCACCGACCTTTTCTAACGAGCAAACTCCCAAAATGCGTCTTCTCTATATTGTTCTGTTGCAATGCCGAGCGACTACTATAGCAATCAGCTCTAGATTTTATTATGGAAAGGAAAAAGGAGATCATTGCCAATTCTGGTTGAGGTATTGGATGCGACGGACTTTCCGCGGACAGAGCCTTGAGAACTGCCGTGGTAGGGGTTGAATGCAAGTTTCAATACTTCATCCATTAGGCGGGCTCAAAGTCTCAAACACAACTTGCAAAGTCATGATAGAAGTCAAAAACACGACAACCTCAAACTATTCCCACTTTTTTACAAGCTCTTTTTCTTGCCCGGGAGCAACGTTCCGGCCGGATCCCAAATAGCGGGAAGCCATCAAACAATACGATGCGGAGAAAAGGGGCGGAACACCTCCGTCCGTCGAAACCCCAAAGCAGGCGCTGGCAGGGAATAAACTCAAGATCGCAAGCAGCCTAGCACATTATGAAGGAGTAATGCAAAGAGTCGCTATTCGCCAACCATATTCCCGAGGTCCTGTCTCGTGCACTTCCCCCGTGGGGTTTGGTCCATGAGGGGAAACATTGAGCTTCCTCTTTCAGCCTCTGACTACAGCAACAGATGGATTACTATTTAAATCTTAAAGAAAAAGATAATTAATAAAAAGTAAAAAAAATTAAATAAAAAAAGGAAATTTAAAAAAAAATATATTATTTAATAAAATAAAAAAAATAGCCTATAGAATATAATTAATAGGTTATTATTATAAATATAAAAAATGCCTTTTAAATTATTATTACTTAAAAAAAGCTTTAAATTAAATAAAAAAGAAAAAGGCTATAATTATAAATAAAATAAGTATTATAAAAAAAAGAAAGGCTATAAAAAGATAATATATTAAAATCTAAAAATTAAAGTAATTAAAATACCTAAAGAATTAAAAGAAATAAAACTAACTATAGGTTAATCTCTTTTTATTTTAATTTATTTCTTTAAAAACTATAAGTTACCTTTAATTTCTATTTTTAAATTTAATAATAATAAAATTAATTATAGGCTTAATTCCTTATAAGGTTATCCTTTAATATAAGGTTTTTTTTAAGGTAATTATAATTATAAAAAGAAAGTACTTTTAGCTATAATAAAGAATTAATAATTATATTTTTTTAAAAAGTTAAAAGGGTTTTAAAGGTAAATATTTAAGCTATTTTATTAATAAAATTACTATTAAAGATTTATTATTATTTAAATAAATTTATAATAATTAAAATAAAAGCTATATTATTAAAAGAATTAAATAATAATTTAAATTAAAACTATTAAGTATTTAAATTTATAAAAAAAAAAAATTAATTAAATAGAAAATAATTAAATAAATTAATTAAAATAAATATAAAAAATAAAATTAAAGTAAAAATTAAAACTATAATAAAAATAAAACCTTTAAAAA